GGAATAATGATGCATCTTACAACTGTTGGGGGCTTAGGTGCAATGAAATCTGGTAAGGGTAAAATTATAAAGAAAAGCAGCAGAATGAATGACACAAAATTTGGAGTCATGATTGCCTGTGAATAGGAGGAAGGGACACGTGGAGAACTTTTAAAGAACTGACAATGTGCTATTTTTTCACCTAGGTAGTGAGTATAAAACCAAAAGCCAAATTCACTGCCATTGAGTTGATTCTGACTCATACTGACCTGCACTGGGTTTCCAAGGCTGTATGTAAATCTTTATAGAAGCAGACTGCCTCGTATCTCCTCCACAGAGTGGCTGGTGGGTTTGAACCACAAAACCTTTTGGTTTACAGCCCAGTGCCTTAACAACTGCACCACCAGAGCTGCTTAGGTAGTGAGTATAGGAGTATTCATTTTATTTTATTATTGTTCTTTAAACAATTTCTGGTTGCATAAGGTGCTCTGGTAGCATAGTGCCTAAAGCACTTGACTGCTAACCAGAAGGCTGGCAGTTCAAACCCACCAGCCACTCCTCGGAAGGAAGGTTGGGCAATCCTACTTCCGTAGTGATACTGCCTCGGAAACCCAAGGAGGGGTCGCTATGAGTTGGGGCCGACTCAACGGCACATAACAACAACAAGGATTCTGTATGATCTTATATGGGAGGAGATCTATGGAATAGGGAGGGAACACTACCACACTGGGTGACACCAGCCCCAGTGATGCCACTGCAACCTGTGCCAGGTGCTAAAGCAAGAGCTTTTAATCCACCATTTCATCTATCTTTCTCCTCAAATCTATGAGATATAGAGTCCCACAGGATGCCCATTTTCCAGACAAGAAAATGGAGCTTTAGCGAGGTTGAATGACTTGTAGATGAGGCAGCCTCAGAGCTGGGACTCAGATGCCAGCAGGGCCACAGCAGTGCCTGCATAGTCAACCAGCACCATGAAACACAGTCCTGCGCCGAGAAGAGTGGACGTTGATGGAGAACGACTACTAGAGAATAAAACAAAAAAATGACCAAGCAAATAAGGAAGATTATCAGACTTTTTAGAGTTGTGCAATCTGTCCCAGGAAACAGAATGGAGCTGAGTGCTCCACAGGCCTCAGTATAGTCTCCTCAGAGGCTCCCTTTTAAAATCTATCAACTTTAAGCAGCAAGACTGCATTTGGGGCCAAAGTGGCAGAAAAGGTTATCAATTCAACATCAACTGGAATCCACATTCCCTGTTGCCTTTTTTTGAGAAGCTTGTTGTTGTTGTTTTTATGTGCCCGACTCATAGTGACCCCTCCTTGGGTTTCCAAAGTGGTATCACTATGGATAGTAGATTGTCCAACCTTCCTTCTGAGGAGTGGCTGATAGGTTTGAACCGCCAGCATTCTGTCAGCAGTCAAGTGCCTTAGGCACTATGCTACCAGAGCTCCTGTTTGGAGAAGCTAGGTGTATGTGATGGGCTGAGTGGGGGTGACACCTGCTGGGCTCTGGGAAGTCTGAGGGGTGGTGAGCTGGTGCTTTTCATATGTTGTCCCCTACTGCCCTCTGCTGGCAAAAAGTGAGAACACTCCAGAATCTGCAAACAGCTCTGTTAGCTGCTGGCAAGTCCACCCTCACTCTTGGCCACACAACACACAAGCAACAAAATGCAGACCAATCCCGCACCATCCCCATCATCGGTTGCAGATCGGATCATTATGATCCATAGGGTTTTAATTGGCTGATTTTCAGAAGTAGATCTATAAATCTTTCTTCCTAGGCAAGAAGCTCCACTGAAACTCTTCAGCATTACAATGCATTGGCAGGGAATCGAACCCCAGACTCCTGTAAGGAAGATGAGAATTCTACCACTGAACCACCACTGTCCCCAAAGCAAACAGTTCCACTCCCTCTTAAACACAGATCTACTGGTGAGAGGTGGGAAGAACCAACTGTGACCAGACGGTGGAGCATGTTAGTCTCACTTCCACACACATGTTTTGAATCAATGGCACAGTCAGCTTTCACTTTCTGCCATTCTGGAACTATACACTTGTTTTTAAAACTGGCTTCAGTTGTTCTCATCCTTTAAACAAATTTGTTTCATTTGACACTGTCTCAAAATAGATGTTTCCTAACATTCAAGAGTATTACAACTAGAATGCAGTTTTGATGACTTAAGAAAACACTAGTTTGTTTATCATTTAGGATTTTCAAAATTGTATACTTTTCATATGTATGGAAAGAATTTTTCTTTCCTCCAACATTTTATTTTATTATTTTTGTAATTTGGGTGAAAGTTTACAGAGCAAATTCGTTTTCAATTCAACAGTCCAGACACATTTTGTTTCATGACATTGATTGCAATCCCCACATTTCCCAACATTTTAAAACCATGATTTCTTTTTTGAGAGCCCGGAGACTCCATCATCCGGTTACAGTGTTTTTGCAAGAATATTTATTTTTATTTTCAAACATAATTTTTTATTAAATCAGTAGTTAATGCTTCTAGAAATTTTACTTTGTTACATATTTGGGACAAAATGTTCAAAAGTAATATAGAATTCCTTTGAGTTGAGAAACCTAAATAAATGCTAGAAAAAGCACTGTTCTTACTGAGAACTCCAAGAATTCCTGGTCATCTGTGCTGGGAAGGATGTGTGGCTTTGAGGTGCCCCAGAGAAATCCAACCTGAGTGGACTCTAGGGCCGTTGGTGCCTCAGAGTCTTGAGGGAGCCCCAGGACCTCTTCATGCAGTGGCCACATGATAATTTTAAAATGCAATTTAGATCATGGCACCCCTCTAATTTGGGAAAAGCCAAATGTGAAACCATTGGTATTAGAATAAAATAGAGATTCCTTATCAGCTTTATAAAGCTGGCATAGAGTGATTCATGCCAGCCCACCAAGCCCTCCAAGCCTGAAGTTGGCTCCCTTCCCTTCCCCTCCTTTTTTTCATTCTTTAAGGAATTTTCAAATCTCAGCTTACATGGTACCTTCCCATTTCACTTCAGGAAGTACAACATTCTGTTTACTTCCTTCAGAGCGGAGTTGGCCCTGACTCATGGTGACTTGGGGCACCGTTGACGAAAATGCTGCCTGATCCTGCACCATCCCCATGACCAGGGTTGGACTGGACCATTAGTCACCCACAGAGTTTTTGTTGGCTGATATTTGGCAGTAGATTGCCATACCCTTCTTCCTACTCTCTCTTATTTAAGAAGCTCCACTGAAACCTGTTCAGCATCATAGCACCAGGCACCCTCCACTGACAGGTGGGTGGTGGCTTCTCTTGAGTTGCACTGTCCAGGAATCTGTAATAATTGTTTTATTTGTTATTCATTTCCTGTCTCCATCATTAGGCATTATTTCCATTAGAGTTAAGTCTTTCCCATCTTGTCATTGTATTCTTAGTACCTTTCAAGCCTACATTTATCAGCAAGTGAGGTGAACAAAAGAACACATTCAGAGAGAGGTGAATGACCCCAAAGCCATTCCATGCAGATCCCAGCACAGAGTCTATTCCACAATTATAAGAAAGTCCCATCCTTGTGCCATGGAATGGGAAGCAGAGGGAGCAATGGCTTAGATCAGGCTGCCACACTTTCATCTGTGACTTATACTCACTATCGGAATCATTCTCTCCATTTTTACCTGCTTTAAGAACACCAGGGAAGTAGAACCAACCATGAACCACTGTTTATGACAGCACAGAGGATGGAAAATATACACAGATATTATGGATTAAACTGTGTCCCCCAAAAAATATGCTGAAGTCCTAACCCCTGTACCTGTGAATCTGACCTTCTTTGATGAAAGAGGGTTTTCTTTGCAGATGCTGTCAGTTAAGTTAAACATGGCCATACTGGAGTACAGTAGGTCCTAATCCCAACCACTTGTGAGTGGTGTCTTATAAAAAGGACAGGAACAGTCACACACAGGGAAGACACTGTGTGAAGATCTGTTCCAAGGAATACCAAGAAATGACCAGAAGCTGCTCAAGGAAAGACCTTCCCCTGCAGCCAACAGAGAGAGCAAAACAGCACAGCCTCACTGATGCCCTAGATTTGGGTGTCCAGCCTCCAGAACTGTGAAAAAATGCATTTCTATTCTTTAAAGCCATCCACTTTGTGGTATTTTCTCATGGCAGCCCTAGGAATCTAAGATAGCCAGGCATGCTAACTCATCATGTGTTATTTAATCAGTTGTGTAGGTATCAATCCAGGATACAAACACACAAACAAATAATAACAATAATAAACAGTTGCCATGGATTTGACTCCAACTCATGGTGACCCCATGGATGTCAGAGTAGAACTGTGCTCTATCGGGTTTTCCACAGCTGATTTTTCAGAAGTAAGATTACCAGACCTTTCTTCTGAGGTGCCCCCAGGTGGACTTGAACCTCCACTTTTCAGTTAGTAGCCCAGCTTAACTGTTTGCACCACTCAGAGAATCCAGGATGCAAACACCAGCTACTAAACCAAGTAGGAGCACTTTGTGTTGACCAATGCCTTTCCCTTAGAAGGGCACAGTCCCATAGGCTCAACGTCCTGAATGAATATGTAGGGAGGTGTATTCACAGTCCCATTTTACGAAGGGAAAAATAATGAGCCTGTGGTCAGTGAGCTGAAGAAAGTCACTCCCGGGCAGCAGGCTAATGCCTGACCCTCCAGTGGTTCTTGTCCCGATCCTCGCTGCCAGATCATCAGAGCCTGAGAAAGGGAAAGTAAACTTAGAACTGTCATCAGTTCAGAATCTATGGCTTGAGGAAGCTTACTGACAGCTGTCCCCAAGAGAGGTAGCGTGAGCTGAAATGCTGGCTTGGCTCTGGGTAGGCTTGAATCAGACATCATGGGACATAGTTTCCCCTTGCAAGTGCTGCTGGTTCAACATGCTTTCCTCTGTCATAGTCTGTCTCTCTTCTGGCCAGGATCCTGGCACTGGATTGAGAAGTGATCCACAGAGAAGGCAGTCAAGCCCACATGAAATACCCTACTCCTGTGTAGAAGTTGCCCTCAGGGCAGGCTGATCTGGGGGTTCTTCAGGAAGGCGGCCAGTTTTTGCGCCACGGCATCCAGTTCCGCTGAGTTGGCATAGCGCAGGATGTTGCTCTTTTGCACGAAATAGTGTTTCAGAAAGTGCTGGCTCACACACTTGTGTAGTTTCTGTACCAGGCGCAGGAATGATTTGCTGAAAACCTGCCAGTCCTTGGAGTGGGGATATTTCTCACACGTCCAAAAGAGCACTGTCTGTGGAAGGAAGTGATTGGTGTCAGACATGGTTTCAGGTCGTTGAAGAGAATCTCTTCAGAAGCATTATTGAACTTACACTAGGGAAGGAGGGAGAAAGAAGGTACCCAGGGCAAATTGGTTCCTCCATGAATTCATGATCCCCAACCTGCAGTGACCTTCAGTCTTGTCCAGCTAGCTTCCTCTGACTCTTTGTTAATTTATTCTCAGTCTACATGGACATTTCTCATGATCACCACTCTCCTTAGATCTGCAATACCCCACCCCTGGCAGATGCCTTTGCCTCAGACTTTACAGGAAAATAGAAACGCTCATTCTCCCAAGTGAGACAATTCTGCTACATCTATATCCTCCTATCTTCCTGCTAGGGCTTGTCCCTCCACTGGCTCCAGATCCAGTCTTACAGGTACTGTGTATGATTGTTTACCCCACAAATCACAATTTTTTAAAAAATACTCAAACACTCCTACCCCTTACACATTCTTTTGGTCATTAACTTCTCATAAGAATCAATGATCATAGTAATAGGGCTTTTTTGGGGTATTTATTTATGAATTATTTTCTTTTTCTCATCTCTTCTGCTAGACTATAAATTCCATGAGAGCAGGAGACTATATTTTCGCTCACTATTACCTCACTGGTGGTGCTGTGGTTAAAGCATTGGGCTGCTAACCAAAAGGCTCATGATTCAAACCCACCAGCCGCTCTGTGGGAGAAAGATGAGGCAGTCTGCTTCTATAAAAGATTGAGTCTTGGAAACTCCGTGGCACAGTTCTATTCTGTCTTATAGAATGGCTTTGAGTTGGGACAGACTCCATGGCAGGTGGGTTTTTATGTTACTAGCACTCAGAAGAGGGACTGACCATGGGAGACAGTCAAACTTCTGTACAATAGGTAATATTTATTAAATATTAATTAATTAATTAATGTCATAGTTTAGATATTGAGTATTGTGGTGGTTAGATTTGTGTGTCAACTTGCCTGGTTGAGTGGCTGGGCAGCTGGACGTAGTATTTCCCATGATGAGACTGGTAATCAATTCCATGGTGGAATCTACTATGAGCAGCTGAGTAGCTGCTGCCTTAGGGCTGTGGTCTGCTTCCTGTATATAAGGATAAGCCTTGGGTAATGGTCTCTAGCTTATGTCATGTTTGTACCATGCATGTAGCTGTGTTGTTGTTCAGCAGCTGCCATGCTCTGCCAACATTGGGACTTTCAATGGACTTAAATTACTGGCCTGCCATGTATTTTGGTAACATCAGAACTGTGCCTTTTTACTTGTCAACCTCAGGCTTCTCAGCCTCAGCAGCCAGCAGCTGTCTTGAGTGAAGAAAAGCTCTAGCTTCAGTGGGCCGGGAGCAGCAGGTAGAGCTGAAGACCAAGGTTGAGGGCCCTTAGAGCCTGGCATTTTGAACTTGGACTTAAAGCCTCCAAACTGTAAGAGAATAAACTCCTGTTTGTTCAAGCCATCTCATTTGAGGTATTTTCTGTTACAGCAACACAGAGGTAACCAAAACAAGTATATTTTGATTTAGATTATCTCATTTTTAGTAAATGAATCAGAGATATTTTCATGCACCAGAGAGATTTTCATGCTTGTCAAGCTAACCTAGATAAAAAAAAAAAAATCATTCCATGTGTTGGTTAAAACTTTTACCTCCATAAACAAACTGAAGCAGTTAAGCCAATTATAATCGAGTCTGTGTGCCTTTGAGTGCGTGTCAGAAATAAACTAAGGAGAAATAAGCTCTTGCTTAAGTTGAAAGTGTCTTGGGGGAAAGCCTCTTTGGGGAGGAGAGGCCCTTTGAAGACTTAGGTGAAAGGACCCTGATTGGCACATGTTTCCTGATAATGTTTTGCAACCCAACCTCTTCCACATTCCCCAGACTGAAGCTTTGGCAAAGAGTCAACACACTCAAGCCATCATCCAGGATGGGTGTCTGATACCACATTTGCCACTAGCCACATCTGTCCCAAGGGAGAATACCTAATTGTGAGAGAATTTCGCCCTTAGACCAAGGACGGACGGCTAGAGGGAAAGGCAATCAGTTCAAATTCTGTTCGTTTAATTCTTCTGCATAAGCAACCATTTTTTTCCCTCAAATGCCCATTCTTGAAAAGACACAATTTTGTTGTTGGTGGGCTAGGCAGGATTGAAACAGAGAATCTTTAATGAGGATCTTAATAGTCACTAAATTATAAGGATTCACTGGAATAGAAGTAAATCTCTGGATAGAATGGAGTTTTGAGAGCCCAGACAGTCATGGACGGGGAGGCTAGTGATTGCGCTATTTAATCTGTCCTAAAATATTCACTCCATGTAATGATTTTACCCCTTTGTTGAGAGACAATGAAGTCAATGGTCAAGAACACGAGATTTTGATATGAGACAGACTTGAGTTTGTTTCTCAGCTCTGCCACTTATTAGTGTGGCCTGTAGAAAGATAAGTAAGAAAAAGATCTAGCTACACACCAAGTTATCTTCTGAAAGTTCAAGCCCAAGATCCCAGATAACAGGTTATATCTCTTTAAGGGAATGTGCTCGCAGCATGCAGAGAAAGCTGAAACACCGAGAAAGTCTCCATTGTGTATAATTGAGATGTTAACAGATTCTTGGGTAAGTGAGGGAGGACAAGTTATCAGGATAGATAAGAAAGCAAAGCAAAGGCCAGTGATTTTATGAAGGAAAGAAAAAAAGTTGAATAATAGGTGTTCATTACCCAATCAATAAATATTTACTGAGAAACTACTATGTACAAAGCATTGGAAGAGATGTTGTTGTGTGCCATTGAGTCAATTCTGATTCACAGTGACCCTATGGGACAGAGTAGAACTGCCCACATAGGGTTTCCATGGTTGTAATTTTTATGGGAGGAAATCATCAGATCTTTCTCCTATGGAGCCATTGGGTGGGTTCAAACCACCAACCTTTTGGTTAGCAGCCAAGTTTAACTGTTGAGCCACAGTTTTATTGGGAGAGATACTTGCCCTTAAACAGGTTACATTGGCATAAAAGGAATAACATGGGGCCCTGGGAGATGGTTCTACCACTGAATGGGAAGAAGCACAGGTAGGACCATGTAAGGCAGTCCAACCAGGTGGCTGCCCCAGTGACCTGGGTGTGGTGGTTATGTTTGTGTGTCAACTTGGCTGGGACTGGTTGAGTGGCTGGGCAGCTGGTGGTAGTTATTCCCCATGATGAGACTGGCAATCAATGGTGGGATCTACCACAAGCAGCTGAGTAGCTGCTTTGGGTATGTGGTCTGTTTCCTGTATATAAGAAGCAGCTGTGGGAATGGCCTCTAGCTTATGGCACGCTTGGACCCTGCATGTAGCTGTGTCATTGTTCAGCAGCCTGCCATGCTCTGCCGACCTTGGGACTTACAATGCACTTAAATTAATGGCCTGCTGTGTGGTTTGGTAACATCAGGACTGTGCCTTTTTACTTGTCAACCTTGGTTTTGTCAGCCTCAGCAGCCAGCAGCTGTTTGAGTGAAGAAATGCCTCTAGCTCCATTAGGCCTGGAGCAGGAGGCAGAGCCGAAGCCCAAAGTTGAGGGCTTTCACCCAGACCCTAGAGCCTGGCACTTTGAACTTGGACTTAAAGCCTCTAAACTGTGAGAGAATAAACTCCTGTTTGTTAAAGATATCCCATTTGTGGCATATATTCCTGTCAGAGCAGCACTAGGTAACAAGAACACTGGGTTTACCTGCATAGAAAGGCATCCAATCCTCTAGGCTTAGACCAGTCTGGGGTCAGAGAGAGGGATGGAACCTCCTGAATGGGTACTAACTTGTCTGGGGCTGAGATGTCACATGAATGTGGAAACTCTCAAGCCCAGTGCATTGTCCTACTTCCTCCATGTGGCCCACTGTTTGAGAAAGAAGAAGGTGGGAGTGTGATCAGAGGCCACTTTCTTCAGGGAAGCCCCCAACCCACTAGTCCAGGTCTGGTTCTGTTGCTCTGTACCCTCTGTACCACACTGTATGTGATTCCACATGCACATGTAGGATTGTCTGATCAGTGTCCATTTTCCCCGATTGACCATTAGCTTCAAGAGAGCAGGAACCACGACTCTGTACCTTCATCAATGTGACTCCAGGTGTGAAGCACATAGCAGGTGCTGAGGGAGGTGTCTAGTCCATAGCAGTCTCAATACGTGAATGGATGAGTGAGTGAATGTATTAATAAATGTACACTGTTGGTTGGGGGCAAAAGGTGCTGGCAGAGTGATGGAAAATCCCTGCTTGATTTGGAAGCCAGAAGTTCCTAAGCCTTGAAACATGTTTGTGGCATATGGTAACCTCAGCATGTCATGGCTTCCCTGCTGCTTGCAGATTGTGTGTGTGAGTGTGTGTGTGATTACACTTGGTACATGAGTGGGGACTAAGTGGGTCATAATACCAGAGAAAACATGCATTCAGCAGAGGTTTAAACAATTCACAGGACTTCACCAAACTGGATTTCTCAAGGGCAGAGGCCGCATTGTGTAATCCATGTCTGAACCTTGGCAGGGTTTCTGACACACAGTTGGCATTCATGTTGGTTTGCTGAGTGAAATAGAAGAATTGTGAGGGGAGGGGAGGGAGGATAACGAGGGAAAGGGAAAGGATGAGAATCAGGAGGAAAAGGAACAGAAAAAGGTGGAGGAAGATGAGAGAGAAAGGGGAGGGGAGCAAAAGTCAGGGAGAAGGAAGAGGGAGAGGAAGAAGGGGAAGAGGATGAGAAGAGAAAAAAGAAAACGAAAAAAGGGGAATGGGAAAAGGGAAGGGAAGAAAGTGTGAGGATATTTGCTACCCTGGCTCAGGGGTGTTGTGTACACACCCATACAGCCTGGGTTGGTATATTTCCGTAACAAAAACCCACTGCCCTCAAGTCAATCAATCACAACTCACATAGACCTTATAGGACAGAGTAGAACTGACCCAGGGTTTCCAAAGCTGTTAAATCTTTTCAGAAGCATCTTGACTCATTTTTCTCCCATGGAGCAGCTGGTAGGTTTGAACCACTGACCTTTTGGTTAGGAGTTGAATGCTTTAACCACTATGTCACCAGAGCTCCTATATTTCCATGTTGTTGTTGTTGTTATGTGCCGTCGAGCCGGCCGCGACTCATAGCGACCCCTCCTTGGGTTTCCGAGGCAGTATCACTACAGAAGTAGGATTGCCCAACCTTCCATAAGAAGTAATAATCTGCAGGATATTGAACATAGACACCAGAGCCCCATCCTGAACTCATCGCTCAAATACTCACACACACTAATTCACCCTCACACTCATATTCATTCACACCCATCTCTTCATGGCTTTGGCCATGGAGTACAGAGGATGCAGAGAGGGGACCTCCTGACCAAGCAACTCCTAGGTCCTGGACGGAAAGTGCATCTGGCCCATTCACCTGCAGATGGTGGGATGTGAGAACTGGCCTCTTGCCCGGACACCAGACATTCTCCTTCATCAGCCGCATGACCTTGAAGCATTTCCTGCGGCAGCCGCCATCTTCATCCAGCAGCTCCAGAAGTGCCTGCTCTGCCCGGCAGAAGCTCAGCTGCCAGTGATAGTTTGAATGGGCCAACAAGTTAAACCCAAATGACTGCAAGAAGAGAAAAAAAAAAAAGGAAAAATGGAAGGATGATGCTTGCTGAAGTGGAAAGCCATCCCTGGAGCAGTCCACTAGTGTGGGGAATCTATTACTGGACAGATAGTGCATCCTATATGAGGACAAAGAGGGGAAAACCCAGTTGCTTTGGAGTTGGTTATGACTCAAGGCAACCCCCATGTGTGTCAGAGAACTGTGTTCCATAGGGTTTTCAATGGCTAAGTTTTGGAAGAAGATAGCCTTTCCTCCAAGGCAACTTTGGGGTGGACTCAAATATCTAACCTTGTGGTTAGCAGCCTGACAATTATTTGTGCCACTCAAGTATTCCTCGAGAAAAATAGGAAAGTTAACAGGAGAAGCCTGTATTCCACATTCTCTTGTTCAGTGGTTCCCAAACTGGCACGGATATTGGAATAACCTGCAGGGCTAATAAATAGTAGACTGATGAGTCCTTCCCATAGAATCTCTTTCAGTAGATTGTGAGTGGGGCCAAGAATCTTCATTTCTATTCAGTTTCCAAATGATGCTGATGTTGCTGGCTGGGTACCACACTTTGAGAACCTATGGATAAATTCATCTTTCCTTTAAAAGCCAGTCACCACTCAGTAGTGTTGTGATTGGTTAAACTATGAGGATTCTGCCCTGGTGAGCTGGGGCCCGCTTGCTTGCTGATACCTTGATGCACTCCACTGTCTCCGGGGAAGGCCAGCGCTTCAGACATCGGGGCCACTGGGCTTTTGCAGACCAGGAGGTGGGGATCTCCACTGTGGGGACCAGCTCTAGTTCCACCTGACATGTGGTTGTTTCCACGGCAACCCAAACCATAGAGCCATAACTGTCGAGCATGCTGACCTTACCTGATGGGAAATTACCAAACAGACAATGAGAAGAGAGAGTCTTGCTCAATACAAGCATTCAAAGAAGGGATTTGTGAGCAGCTGCTGTGAGCAGCTCCTTGCAACTGGTATGTCAACTTTCGCAATGCAAGCAGCCTGCCTGGGGTGGAATGTCTATGTGAAACCAATAATATAATAAGAATGCCAGGTACATATCGCTAGAAAATCTTTGTTGGTGGGTTTTTTCTTACTCTCACCCAAGACTTTTATAGTATCCCCCGCCCCGCCTCTCTCTTCTAAATAGGATATTCTTTTCAGAAGACTGAACTGAAAGAGCTGTGAAATAAAAAGGTATATTATTTGCTACTGTAAAATAAAATTTAACCTTTTCTGTATCTTGCTCTATTCCATGCAAATACCTAGATGCTCATTTTCAGAGTGAGACAAAGTAAGACAAACATATGGACGATACCTTTTTCCCCCCTGCTATTTGTGCAGATGTTCTGACATTGATTAAGGAAAGCCTAAGTCCCCTAATATGACTGTTATTAAAATTTATGTACCATCACTAATGCCAAAGAGAAATAAATTGAAGATTTTTACAAACTGCTGAAGACTAAAATTGATCAAATATGCAATCAAGATGCATTGATAATTACTGTACTTGATTGATAGCTACTGATCTAAGAAAATACCAAGAAAATACGGCCTTAGTGATAGAAACAATGAGAGAGATGGCATGATAAAATTTTGCAAGACCAATGACTTATTCATTGGAAATATTTTTTTTCCAACAACACAGTGAGTATACACATGGAATTCCCCTGGAGGAATACATAGAAATCAAACTGACTACATCTGTGGAAAGAGATGATAGAAAAGCTCAATATCATCAGTCAGAATAGGGCCAGGAGTTGACTGCAGAAGAGACCATCAATTGCTCATGCGCAAGCTTAAGTTGAAGTTGAAGAAAGTTAAAACAAGTCCATGGGAGCTGAAGACCTTGAGTATCTCTCTCCTGAGTTTAGAGACTATCACAAGAATATATGTGATTCATTGAACACTAATAATTGAAGACCAGAAGAACTGTGGGATGACATAAAGAATATCATACACGAAGAAAGCAAAAAGTCATTAAAAAGACAGGAAAGAAATAAAATACTTGCTCTAGAATGTATAGAAGCTAAAGAGGAAGAAGAAATGATGGTGTAGAAGAGCTAAACAAAACATTTCAAAGGACCGCTCAAGAAGACAAAATAAAGTATTATAATGAAATGTGCAAAGACCTGAAATCAGAAAATCAAAAAGGAAGAACACACTAGGCATTTCTCAAGCTAAAAGAACTGAAGAAAAAATTCAAGGCTTGAGTTACAATATTGAAGGATTCTATGGCCCAAATACTGAACGACACAAGAAGCATCAAAAGACAGTGGAAGGAATATACAGGAGTCACTGTACTAAAAAGAATTGGTCAGCATTCAACCATTTCAAGAGGAAGCATACTATGAAGAACCGATGGTACTGATGGAAGAAGTTCAAACTGCCTTGAAGGCATTCACAGAAAATAAGCCTCCAGGATGTTCTGGAATACCAACTGAGATGTTTTGATAAAAAGATGCAACACTGGAAGGGCTCATTCATATATGCCTAGAAACTTAGAAGGGTACCTGGCCAACCAATTGGAAATAATCCATATTTGTGCCCATTACAAAGACAGATGATCCATCAGAATGTATACATTATCAAACAATATCATTAATATCATACATAGGTAAAATTTTGATGAAAATAATTCAAAAACTGTTGCAGCAGTACATCCACAAGGAACTTCCAGATACTCAACCTGGATTCGGAAGAGCATATGGAACAAGAAATACCATTGCTGATATCAGATGGACCTTGGCTGACAGCACAGAACACCAGAAAGATGTTTACCTGTGTTTAACTGACTATGTAAAGGCAGTTGTATGGGAATTCCAGAACATTTGTGCCCATTGTGCCCATGAGGAACCTCATTGTGCCCATGAGGAACCTGTGCATAGATCAAGAGGCAGTTATTTGAGCAGAACAAGGGGTTATTGAATGGTTTAAACTCAGGAGCGGTGTACATCAAGGGTGTATCCTTTCACCACACTTATTCAACCTCTATGATGAGCAAATAATCTAAAACTGGACTAGATGAAGAAGAATGCAGCTTCATTAACAATCTGCAATATGCAGACACACAGCCTTGCTTGCTGAAAGTGAAAAGGACTTGAAGCACTTAATGATGATGATCAAAGACTACTGCCTTCAGTATAGATTGCACCTTATCATAAAGAAGACAAAATCCTCACAAAGGATCAAAGACTTAAATGTGTAACCTAAAACTGTGAAGTTCATCAAAGAAAAAATAGGGGCAAACTTAGGGGCCCTGATTTATGGCATAAATAGACTATTAAGCATAACCCAAAATGGACAAACAGCAGAACTATAAACTAGATGACAGGAGGTCTTCTAAAAATTAAATTTTTATGTACATCAAAAGACTTCTCCAAAAGAGTAAAAAGAGTGCCTACAGATTGGGCAAAAATATTCAGTAACAACATATCTGACAAGGGACTTATCTCTAAAATTTATAGAAGACTCCCACACCTCAACATCAAAAAGACAAACAATCCAATTAAAAAATGGGCAGAATAGATATTCATGTGGCCAACAAATGCATAAACAAATGTTCCCAACAACTATGCCACCAGAGCTCCCAATTAGCCATTGTTATGTTGTTATTTGCCGTCGAGTCGGCCCCGACTCATAGCGACCCCTCCTTGGGTTTCCAAGGCAGTATCACTACGGAAGTAGGATTGCCCAATCTTCCTTCCGAGGAGTGGCTGGTGGATTTGAACCGCCAGCCTTCTGGTTAATTAATTAGCCATTAGAGGGATGCAAATCAAAACAACAATGAGATATCATCTCACCCCAGCACTAAGAGCAAAGTTCAACAAAATAGAAAATATCAAATGCTGGTGAGGATGTGGAAAGATTGGGATTCTCATACACTGTTGATTAAACTATAAAATGATACAACCACTGTGGAAATTGGTATGCCATTTCCTTAAAAAGTTGGAAATAGAAATACCATTTGATCCAGCAATCCCATTACTAGGTATATGTCCTAAAGAAGTGAGAGCCAGGACACAAATAGATATATGCACACCCATTTTCATCACAGCACTATTCACAATAGCAGAGATGGAAACAACCTAAGTGCCCATCAACAGAGGAATGGATAACCAAACTATGGTACATACATACAATGGAATACTATGCAACACTAAAGAATAACATAAAATCCGTGTAACACTGTGTAACATGGATGAAGTTGGAGGATATTATGTGGAGTGAAATAGCTCAATCACAGAAGGACAAATATTGTGTTAGTCCACTACTGTAAAAAGTCAAGGAAAGGTTTACACATAGAAGGAAACTTTCTTTGTCGGTTACCAGGGATGAGAGAGTAGGGGAGGGAAAATTGCTAGAAATTGCTAGATATGTAAGAGACAAGTTTGATTCAGGTGAAGGGAAAGGCAATATACCAAAAAGTGAGTCACCAACACAGTAACACTAAGGAAAAGGAAGACACATAGATGAGCACAAAATGTACAGACAATAAAAATAAACATTTTTACATATAAAATACTGCATTAGCAGTAATAACAAACATTAAACTATGGGTAGATACATAGGTAGACAGACAGAATGATCAGGTATATCTAGGCAAAAGAGAATATACCCATGACCATATATAAGGTTAAACTAAAAGAAAAGAAAAACAAAAAAACTGCCATAGAGTCTATTCTGACTCATAGCAACCCCCATTGGGTTTCCAAGGCAGTAAATCTTTACAAAAATATATTGCCTCATCGTCCTTCCACAGAGCAGCTGGTGGGTTTGAACCAACAACCTTCGGGTTAGTAGTCAAATGCCTTAGGCACTGTGCCATCACAGTTCCTTATATATATAAGGTTGGCAGACGATATTTCTACATACATATTTATATGTGCTTTAAGAATGTCCATATACATAGAAATAACAGGGAGCAAACTTATTATAACTTCTTAGTCACAGCCAACCACTCTGAAGGAGCAAGTTGTTGGACCTGTGGACTCAGGACCGTGGTCGTGGGGGACATCAAGCTCAATTGACATAACATACTACACAAAAACAATTGTTCTACATCTTACTTTGGTGAGTAGCAATTGGGGTCTTAAAAGCCTGCAAGCAGTTATCTAAATGCAACAATTGGTCTCTCCTCATGCAGAGCAAAGAAGAATGAAAACGAAAGATTCAGGGAAACAGTTAGTCCAAGGGACTAGTGGGCCATATGATCCTCAGCTTATATGACCATGAAACCAGAAAAACTACTAGATGGTGCCCAGCTACCACTGTCACCCACTCGGAAAGGGATCAGTGCAGGGGATCCTGGATAGAGTGGGAGAAGAATGTGGAACAAAACTCTAAATCATTAAAAAAAAAAAAAAAAAAACAAAACAGGTTTATTGGTCTGATAGAGACTGAAGCCCACGAGACTATGGCTCCTTGTCACCTTTCAGGTTTGGAACTGAACTCACTCACATGGCTTCCAGCCAAACAATAGATTGGCATATAAAGTGAACATTTATATCAAGTAGGTATATTCCTTACAACAATCAATCTTGGGAGATCAGTATTTGCACACAGATATAACTCAGAAGGCAGGCATGCATAGGAAAGGACACAGGGAAAAGGTAACCATAGGGAGGAAGTAGGAAGAGAGCTGTTACATTATGGGGACTGCAATCATGTTATGAAGCAAAATGTGTATGAACCGCTGTATGGAAAATGAATTTGCTCTGTAAACTTTCATGAAAATCACAGGAAAAAAAAATCCACACAACTGGACCAATAAGTAACATCATGATTAATGGAGAAGAGATTGAAATTGTAAAGGATTTCATCTGAATTGAATCCACAATCAATGCCCATGGAAGCGGTAGTCAAGAAGTCAAACACTGCATTGTATTGAGCAAATCTGCTGCAAAAGACTTCTTTAAAGTGTTAAAAAGCAAAGATGTCACCTTGAAGACTAAGGTACGCCTGACCCAAGCGATGGGATTTTCAATCGCCTCATATGCATGAAAAGCTAGACAATGAATAAAGACCAGAGAAGAATTGGTGCCTTTAAATTATGGTACCAGTGAAGAATACTGAATATACCATGTACTGTCTTGGAAAAAGTACAGCCAAAGTGCTCCTTGGAAGTGAGGACGGCAAGACCTATGTCACACACTTTGGTCCTGTTATCAGGAGGGACCAGTCCCTGGAGAAGGACATCATGCTTGGTAAAGTAGAGGGTCAGCAGAAAGGAAGAAGACCCTCAAAGTGAAGGACTGCCACAGTAGCTGCAATGAAGGGCTCAAACGTAGCCGTGATGGTGAGGACAGTGCAGGCAGGTCTAGGCAGCTTTGGTCTGTTGTGCATGGGGTCACTATGGGTCAGGGCCAACTTGATGGTTTAACAACAAAGTAGCAAGACCCCCAACTTTTTCATATCCCTTTGTCTGGAGCTCTGGTGCTATAGTGGATAAGGCACTAACCAAAAGGTCAGCAGTTCAAACCTACCAGCCACTCTGCGGAAGGAAGACAGGGCGATCTACTTCCTAATGATTTACAGCCTCAGAAACCCAAGGGGGTCACTAAGAGTCAGAAACAAGTCAATGGCAGTGAGTTTGGTTTGTTGTTGTTGTTGTTGGGCTTCAGCTTAGCTTGCCTTTGTATGAGTCAAAGTTTCTTAGTTGGTATTTGTTTCCATTACCCAATAAGCCAGCCTACCCTCGGATGTCTTTATCATCATAAGCCATTATAATTATAAAACACTTCAAACCCCATTATAGCCTTAAAGAGACATGTACATGGAAGTACATACTCACTGCCTTGTTTCCAAGCCAGTGAAAGAGAGGAGAGAAAACAAATGCATGTGGTAACTTTGTCAGCTCATATACCAGCATTTCTTCATTTATAATGTGCTGCCCCTTATTTCAAAAGATACAGGAGCTCTGGTAGTGCAACAATTAAAGCCCTTGGCTGCTATCTGGAAATCTACCACCTGCTCCACAGGAGAAAGATGAGGCATTTTGCTTCTATAAAGATTTCAGCCTTGGAAACCCTAGAGGGCAGTTCTACTCTGTCCTATAGGGTCACTAAGAATCAGTATTGACTCAACAGCAGTTGGTGGGTTTGGGTTCTTTCAAAACATACACAGGAGACTTTGGTTTGTTTGCTTTCGTTACAACTAAAGACAAACTGTCTTGAACCAGGATCTTTTATTTTGGTTTTCTTTCCTCAGAGGAGAAAATGGGAGCTTATTAATCATGGTCAGATATTCAAAGGGAGAATGTTCCTCTCCTCGGCCAGGGTGTCATAAAGGGCTATTGTCTGCCTCTCTTCAGAGCTGGCCAGAAAGGAACAATGGTACTCAGCATTATTACTGACAGCACCTCACCAGGCAGGCTTGGTTTGAATCTCTTGTTTGCACTTTCACTATTAATATTGTTGCAAAATGAAGGTGTGCCTGGCCCACACCTGGTTTTGCTGCTTTCTCTGCTTACTAGGTATGTGACCTCCAGCAAGTGACTGAATTTCTCTAAGCCTCCATTTTCTCATCTGTAAAATGGGCAGAAAAGTAATTCTTACTCTATAGCATTGGTATGAGGAATACATTAAGTAGCCCATGAAAGTGTTTTGTACATAATAAAAACCTGTTAGATGTGAGCTATTACCATTATGGAAACTTTCAGAACTATTCTGTCTAGAATAGCAAATATATAACTATATAGACTATGTAATATACCAGGGAGCTCTGGTAGCATAGTGGCTAAGGCACTTGACTGCTAACCAGAAGGCTGGTGGTTCAAACCCACTAGCCGCTCCTCGGAAGGAAGATGGGGCAATCTACTTCCGTAGTGATACTGCCTCAGAAACCCAAGGAGGGGTCGCTATGAGTCGGGTCCGACTTGATGGCACATAACAACAACAACATGTAATATAAGGCTGGCAGTTCAAACCCACCAGCCACTCCTCGGAAGGAAGATGGGGCAATCTACTTCTGTAGTGATACTGCCTCGGAAACCCAAGGAGGGGTCGCTATGAGTCAGGTCTGACTGGACGGCATATAACAACAACAACAACAACAACAACAACGTGTAATATAAATATATAAATATATCCTTTTCTTTCTACACAAATGGGATCTCATGCATTTTGTTTTTTCACTTAATTATCTAGCATGGACATCTTAATTATTGTGCATGGGATCACACATGTGTGTGTACCTCATTCTTTTTAAAAGCTGCATAGTGATCCACTTTGCAAATATAATTTATTTGGCCAATTTCCCTTTGTCAGTCATGTAACATATCTCTATTTACTATTATGAAACCTACTGCAATGGCTATCCTCTTGCATATTTTTTTTGTATGTATATTTGTAGGAATATATTTCTAGACTAGAATTGCTGGATTGCCAAGTAAACACATTATAAAAATAAAAATGGACAAATTTGGAGGCACCAATTTACACTTCCAAGAACAATGTCTGAAAGAGTCTGACTCTGCATTATCTATTCCCACACTGAATATGATCCCACTTTTTCATCTCTGTCAATCTGTTAGGTGTTTTAATGTATACTTGAAATGTACATTAGATGAAACATTAAAAAAATTTACTAGCTATTTATATTCTTTTTCTGTGATCCACAGTTTTGTCATTATTTCAATTGGTCTATTCATCTTTTTTTTCTCTTATTTGTTGATAAATTCTCTTTGATTACAAAGGAAATGTTGTTGTTGTTGTTGTTATGTGCCGTCGAGTCGGCCCCGACTCATAGCGACCCCTCCTTGGGTTTCCGAGGCAGTTATCACTACGGAAGTAGGATTGCCCAACCTTCCTTCCGAGGAGTGGCTGGTGGGTTTGAACCGCCAGCCGTCTGGTTAGCAGGCAAGTGTCTTAGCCACTATGCTACCAGAGCTCCCACAAAGGAAATAAGCAATGTTTTTTCCCAGTTTGCAATTTATCCTTTTACTTTGTGTTGAGCAAAAAGGATGTGTATGGTGTATGTGTATGCTTGTCATACTGCATAGTAGCTTAAAATTTGGGGACTGTCAGACCTAGTTCTTTATGACTTTTAGATTTTGTGTTTTGGTACAAGTCGGCGGTTTTTGAATGTGGTATCTCAACACACTGGGAAACTGCAGCCAGATAGAGGGTATTACACTAGACACATGCTAATAACTAAGAGCTCTGGTGGCATAGTGCCTAAGGCATTTGACTCCTAACCAGAAGGCTGGCAATTCAAACCCACCAGACACTCCTCAGAAAGAAGATTGGGCAATCTACTTCTGTAATAATATCACCTCAGAAACCCAAGGAGGGGCCACTATGAGTCAAATTGATGTGACAGCAGTGAGTTTTTTTTTTTTTTTTTTTTTCTTGGAAAATTTGTAAATAATTTACTTTAAAAAAAAATACATTGACACTGTTAAGCTAACCTCTTGAAAAGGGTGCATAACGTACAGCCCTTTATATCTGTGCCATAGCTAGTAATCTAGTTAAATCCATGGGAATGTGTTGTGGGTATGAATTCCATATTTCTGTGTGTCAGAGCAGGAAAAAAAAGCTAATTCAAATCATGAGGATTATACAAATGTAAGGAGCACATCAATTATTGTCTCAAATAGGAGTTTTAAGTGATAGGACATTGCCTGTTCTGCAGAAGATTTTTAGAACAAAAGAGAGATGCCAGAAGTTTCCTTTACACTTTTCTGGATCGGCTCACCTGGGAAATGACAGGTTCTGATTGCATTTTCCACCAGCTTCTGGAACACCCGGAGGACCTTGGCAGGCACGATGTCGCCCTCGATGTTCACATCTGCTTCATGCCACTGCCACAGGCTCTTCATAAACTGCTCCACCTCCAGCCACTGCTGCAGGTCCTCTGGGCTCTGCACAGGGATGGGGAGTCTGGCACCCTGCAGGGTGTAGTACCGCCAGTGCCGTTTCTTGGCCTCCCTGTACCCGGCCAGGCCTTTCACTGGGACTGTGATGAGGAAGTGGCTGGGGGCCAAAACCTGGGTCAGTAAAGGAGAGAGAAGGAGCATGAATGCAGACTTGGGAAGCCACAGCAGTCTTCAGGGTGTCAATCTGTCACGTCAAGCAGCCAATGAACCACTCAGCCCTCAGCAATGTGGTGAGGTGGGCAGAGAACTGCACCTGTGTGTTACAAGAGACTTCTACTTTTTTGCTGCCACGAACCCACTGTAACACTTTGAGAAGGTAAATTAACTTGCTGAGCCTTTGGTTTCATGAATCCACAAATAAAAGAGTGAATTCCACTTGGAACTCTATAAGGAATCAATGTCTGGGAGAAGAAAAGGGAGGGGATGGAACTAGTATTTACTGAGTCCTGTACATACCACACCTTGTGTTAAAATTCTCATACATTGGCCCATTTGAGCTTCACAATCACACAGTGAGGTTGACTTTGTTCCCATTTCCCAGATGAGAAACTTAAGGCTCAAGCAGGCTTGGAAATCTCTCCAGAGACATATAGCCAGTAAGTGGTAGAGTCAGAATGTGAGCTCCGTTTTCTGATTGCTTGTTCAATGACCCGACTCTACCCTGGGCTGGTTTTCAGCCAAGAATGAATAATCTGGAATGGATGGAAAGTGGGAGGGAATATGAGAGGAAGGAAAAGAGTTCTGTAAAATGCCTCCCTTTCTTTGTGCTTGTATTCATAATCCCATGGCCAATATTAATACAAAATTGAAGGTCAAATGAAAGCTTGTTTTCTGAGACAATGGAGCTATTATTAAGATGATTCTAAATTTAAAGGAAAAAAGCAACCAATCAGCATCCACCTCCTCCCTTTCTATAAGAACCAGTTAAGCAATGGTCAGGGTGAACATGGACAGGCCAATAGTCCAAAGGATAGAGAGAGTTGGTCAACAGGGTAGGTACCAACAAAGGGAACTTGAACTTGACCACATCACGTAGCAGCCCACTCCACACTGCATCTTTCTTTGTCAGTCAGCTGTACACTGGAGAAGCCACCTCCTCCTCATGGAAAATTCTGACAATGGAATTTGGTTAAGCTTTGCCTAAGACCCAGTCATTAACCAATTCAGGAGGTGAACATCAAAATCCACTCCATGATGACTCTGCCTCACTCTCAGAGAACAATGGCTACATGCTTTAGGTGATAGGCCCACCTGCCCTCCGCTGTCTGTAGAGAGATTAAAAATGGGGGGCTGGAGGGGACTGGACTATACAATTCATAATTTGTACATTATTTGAATCTACTTGTATGTGAATTCAAGAGGACTATTAAGTTGTTAGTCATGTAAATGGCAATTATTAATACTTGTTGAATTTGATCCAAGATAAAAATAATTTTTACGTGCTACAGTAAATTTTTTGCCAAACTTAATATGTAAGACTTGATGTATGTGAATATAAGACATATTTTAAGCTATGAATTCTGAGTGGGACAATAGATGGAAATTTCCTGGGGTATAGTTCTAGGGAAGGTGATGTTATCATTGTATTCCTAGTGATGTGTATTTATTTGTCCAATTTTGGTTGGCATAGGGTGGGCAGGTGATGTTCTGACATTCCATCATCCAACCCAGATTTACAATGTTCATCCTGGAGTGAATTTCCTAAGATCTGACTCTTCCCCCAAGTCCACAAGTCCCTGATCTTGTGAGTGGTATTTGTATCCACCAACCTGTCTAACCAGCCTCAAGATGTACTGAAGCAGCAATAGTCTTTTATTTGGTACCAATTCTTTTGATCATTCATTTATTCAACATAAGTTGAGTGTGTTTTATGTGCCCCAGACCATGCTGGGTGCTAGAAATGAAGCAAACAATAAATGTGATCCTACAATCAAGGGGTATATAGTCTAGTGTGAGAAACAGGTCATGAATATATATATAACACAGAGTGAAAGGGGCTCTTATGTTTCATAAGAAAAATCGAGGCAAGGAATTATGGGGATTCAGAACAATTCAGAGTCTCACTTTTCTCATTTCTACAATGGAGATAGCCACTGTGTGTCTTGCATGAGGTGATTTGCAGGTTTAAGTGAGATCATTGACCTGAGAAGGGCCCTGCCCACACTACAGTGTTGCAGGAATACTGGCTGTCAGGCACTGGCCTTGGTGGCTCAGAGCTCTGGGGGCTTCCTCACTAGGGAAAGGGATTGACAGGCTGCTCCCACAGTTTCTAAGCACTGCCTCTTTTACTTTCTTCCCTCCCCCACCTGCAACCTAGAGATTATCACTTGCAACTATTTTCTCACCAATGCCCTCTGTTCCTTCTACCCCATCTCCAGCCTGGATCAACCTAGTGGTTAACTCGAGCCCGTAGCGCAGTGACAGATACACAGCAGGCAAGGGTGTTTCTAAGGTATGACAGGTATGGCATGTGTCCTGGGCACCACTTGAAGGGAGGGGGGTGCCACTAAACAGTTTCTATTAACCCAGTATGGCACAAACTGCTTTCTCAAGCATGGCAGACAGCCAGAGGCACAGGGAAGGGTGGGCCTTTAAAGGGGGCATTTGTTCCCAGGTGCAAGTCCAATGGAGCACCAGATGAGGTATGGAATGAGATTCCCAGGCACCACAAATACGAAAGGTGCTTGTCTGAGGGGGGAAGACATTTCTGCATATTTGTAGCCACTAATTCACTGCCTTGGAGTCAGATCTGACTCATAGCGACCCCTCCTTGGGTTTCCGAGGCAGTATCAGTACGGAAGTAGATTGCTCAACCTTCCCTCTGAGGAGTGGCTGGTGGGTTTGAACTGCCCACTTCTGGTTAGCAGTCAAGTGCCTTAGGCACTACACAACCAGAGCTCCTTTGTAACCACTATCAATATCTATTCATCTTGAAAGTGTGTGGAGGTACAGCTTAGAGATTGCCCCGGGTGCTCATTATCTTGGTTATGTCCCTTCAGAGGCATAATTTCAGTGCTTGCCATAGGCACTGTTTTCCCTAGATAGCACTCTGACAGTAGGCCATTGTTGAATACATGTATTCTAAGGTCCTAGTATGTTTTCAGGAGTCCTTGAGTGATGCACACAGTTAAGCACTTGGCTACCAACTGAAAGGCTCGTAGTTTGAATCTACTCAGAGGTGCTGTTCTGGTCACCTAGTGCTTCTCTGACAGAAATATACCACAAATGGAATGGCTTGAACAAACAGGAATTTATTCTCTTACAGTTTGGAGGCTTCAAGTCTGAGTTCAAAGTGCCAGGCTCTAGGGGCTGGGTGAAAGCCCCTCAACCTTGAGCTTCAGCTCTGCCTCATGTTCCCAGCCCACTGGAGCTAGAGGCTTTTCTTCACTCAGATAGCTGCTGGCTGCTGAGGCTGAGAAGCCCAAGGTTGACAAGTAAAAAGGCACAGTCCCGATGTTACTAAACCACACGGCAGACCATTAATTCAAGTCCATTGAAAGTCCCAAGATTGGCAGAGCATGGCAGGCTGCTGAACAATGACATGGCTACATGCAGGGTCCAAGTGTACCATAAGCTAGAGACCATTCCCAAATCTGCTTCTTATATACAGGAAGCAGGCTTCTTATATACAGGAAGCAGACCACATGCCCAAAGCAGCTACTCAGCTGTTTGTAGTAGGTCCCACCATGGAGGTAATTGCCAGTCTCATCATGGGGAATAACTATCACCAGCTGCCCAGCCACTCAACCAGGTCCAGCCAAGTTGACACACAAACATTACCACCACAGGTGCCTTGAAAGAAAGACCTGGTGGTCTGCTTCCAAAAGGTCACAACTGTTGAAAACCCTTGCTGGTGACTATTCTGATATTTTGGACTTCACTATACCTTCAGAAAATGATGTGCCTCTCTTTATTCTGATTCTATGCTAAAGCAATGAAACTTTTGAAGAACTTTATTTCCCCAGACATCCTTATTAGGAAAGGAATGACTCTCAAGTGAGCATAAATATTCCCACCATGGTCCCTATTATTAATAGATAAAGTTAACCTCTGTGCTTTGTTTAGTGTGAATCAATTCTCCAAAACTTTTCATACACTAGTGTAGAACAAAGTAGGTGCTTAATAAACAAATATGTGCTTAAATGAACTTTAGTTGTTCACATGGGTAGTGCTTTGGAGTCAGAAGACTCAATTTGCATTCTGGCTTTCATGCCTAATATGGCTTGAGGTAGTCATTTGACTTCTCTGTGCCTCTACTCTTATCATCTGTAAAGTAGGAAGGTGGGGACTTAAATGAGATAACATCTATGAAATTACTTTGTAAACAGTAAATAATAAAAGTGCCTGTAGAAACATAAACTGTTATTAATATGCTTAGCAGTGCAAGTATTTGTCATGCACTACTCTCCCCTGCCCCACCCTCCCATCCAAGTTCCATAGCTTTGTCAGTGGGCACTGAGAGGTGGGATAGACTTACTTACCTTAATGTTCCCATTGTATGTGTCAGAGCAAGAGATAGCTTGAAATCTAATGTCCTGGTGGCTGATTTCTGTGGTCAAACACTGCACGACTTTCTGTACCTCCTCCACAGTCTGGGAAATCAGCTGGCGTCTCAAGTCCACCTGGGTTTAGAGGGATCAGCAAAGCTGGTTATTTTAGGTGCCATTCATGAGGCACTGGGACATGTAAGTGAAGAGACACGGCACAATAGTAGGTGGCCAGAGAAGTTTGGTTTAAAACATTCTACCCTTCCCAGAACTTAGGATACATAAACTTAGGTCTTAGGTTTAAGGGATTAGATGTTTGTAGGAAATGCAAAGGAACTTATAGTATACTCCAGGCAAGAGAGAACAATTCGAATCAAAGAAGAGATGGAAAGCATCTGTAAGTTTTTCCTGAAGTGTAGGGGAATCTTTGTTTCATGGCTTAAGAGGTGCATGCAGGTTGGTGCTATGACAATGAACGTCTCCTTCAGAGAGACGTGGCCACCAGGGGCTGATTTTACGCAGTGTTTGATACATCTAAATTTAAGGCCCACTCACGAATACTCCTTCAGAGTTTGATATAATGGCTGTTTCAATATATTCTAGAAGGAGCTCTGTTGTTGCAAATGGTTAAGCACTTGACTACTAACTGAAAGGTTGATGGTTCAAACCCACCCAGAGACTCTGCAGAAGTAAGACCTGGCAATCTGCTTCTTTCAAAATTATGGGCAAGAAACCACACGGAGTAGTTACAATGCATCCCATGCAATCTTTGAAAGTTGACATTGACTTGACAACATGCAACAATAACAACAACAACATATATTCTAAAGTAGTTTTGATATACTCACAAACTGGTCAAGATATCCGGAAAAAAGTGCAAGTCACAGAGATTTCTGTTTTCCTAAGGTAAGTAACACCAGCCACTCCTCAGAAGGAAGATGAAGCTATCTACTTCTGTAGTGATACTGCCTCGGAAACCCAAGGAGGGGTCGCTATGAGTCGGGTCTGAATCAATGGCACATAACAACAATGACAAGGTAGTAAGTCATCAACTAGTTCAGCCACCTGAGATCTCATACCTCCCACCAACCAACAAGCCAACTACATATGTACATAGAAGACAAAAGTGTATGTGTATTTATTTACACCATCTCCTATCAGTCAGTTGTATTGCAGGGGCTTGTGTGTTGCTGTGATGCAGGAAGCTATGCCACCAGTATTTCAAATACCAGTAGGGTCACTCATATGAACAGGTTCCAGCAGAGCTTCCAGACTAAGACAGACTAGGAAGAAAGGCTTAGCAATCTACTTTTGTTAATTAACCAGTAAAAATATTATAGATCACAACAGTACATTATCTGACTCACTTGCTTTGGATCCATCATCAGGAGGGTCAAGAGGAGAACATCATGTTTGGTGAAGTAGAGGGTCAATGAGGGCATGGGAGACCCTCAGTGACATGGATTGATACAGTAGCCGCAGTGATGGACTCAAATGTGCTGGCAATTGTGAGGATGATTCAGGACTAGGCAATTTGTTTGGTTGTACGTAAGGTCATCATGAATTGAAGTCAATTTGATGTCAACTAACAGCAACCTCTATTTGTACATGTTTTATATCACACAAAGTCACTTAGCACCTGCTAAGTGCCAGGCAGTGTCTCTTGGGGGCACAAACAGTTAAGTGCTCAGCTACTAACCTAAAGTTTGGCAGTTTTAATCCACCCAGGGATGCCCCAGAAGAAAGGCCCGCTGATCTACTTCTGAAAGATAACAGCCTTTGAAAATCCTGTAGAATGCACAGGGTCACCATCAGTTGAAATGGACTCAATGGCAACTGGTATGTGCCAGGCATGTTGTTACATGCCGGGGTATAGCGATGTGTAAGGGAGACACAGCCCCTGCATTTACAGTAGTGGAGAGACAGACATAGTGCAGAGTACAAGTGTGGTGCCGCCACAATGGGGAGTGTCAGTGCCACCGGGTGTAGTAGAGGCAGTTGATCTAATCTACAGACTGAGACCTGTAGATGATGCACACATCCCACACAGATGACTGTCTTAGAAAAACCAGCTGATACCCTCCAGATTGCTAGCACTGCAAGGAGTAACCAGAAACATAAGACAGAGCCTCTGATTTAAGGAGCTTACAATCATTGGAAATACATGGTATGTAGCCATGAAAACAATCTGATCTTGAATATGATCTTGAATATGGTGATCCTGCCTAGACTGCCTTTTAACATCTTCTTGTTGTCACCAATAGCCACCCATGCCTCTCCATACCTTTAATGTCCATCCTGTCACAGCCATCATGATAGAAGGAACCAAGGATACCCTCCTTGAGTTTTTGTAGTCTGTGAAGATGCTGCATCCTCCAGATTGCTTAAGTGGAAGACAGAGGTAGTCACAGAGGGGACAGATAATTTTCCCGGCCGAAAATAAAATTCTCTTAGAACCTTGTGATTAAGAGTCCTCTTTGCTGTGAGACTTCCTCTATGTATTGTGATTTAATTCCACTAAACCAATCTTTATTGAACATCCACCTCATGCCAGGCTCTATTCATACATGTTGTCCAGGGGTTTACAGATGAGTTATGAAAACAAGACAAAATACCTGGCCATTGAAAAGAGTGAAGTTGAGTGTGAAGTAGAGGTTTTCATGGGATACTATGGGTACTGGAAAAGGCATATTTCACATATTTGGAATTGGGGGCCTTCCTGGAGAAATAGAATATAGGAGTTTTGTCTTGAAAGATTAGGAGGCTATAGCTAGAAAGAGAAAGACATGAAGGTTGCTTTAGAAAAAGAAAATAGCAGTGAGAAAATTGTTATTGTTCATATGACATTGATGGAGCACATGTTACTTTGGAGGAGTGTTGGGAAGTTGGGAGAATAAAGAGTCGAAGATCTCAGAAATAAAGAAAGGGAATTTCAAGAACAAGGTCAACAATAAGTGGTCAAGTGAGAAAAAGTCCAAAAAACATCCATAGAGTTTGGCAACTATAACAGTGTTGCTGAGAGGTTTCAGCACCTCTCAGCCCTCCAAGGGGAAGAACAGGATTGGTGTTTTCAAGGATTGGTGGGCGTTAAGCCAGACTGCAGAGGGTTAAGAGTGAATGGGAGATGAGCAAGTATAGACAGCTGTAAGAAATTCCTTCAAGAGACACCAACAGTTTTCAAAATGACACACAGGCTTTAATATGTTTCAATGTTGAGAAAGAAAGCTAGTGGAAAAGGAAGAGAGAGTAAAGAGCAAAAGCACTGAGTAAAAATATCTCAACAATAGGAGAGTAGAAACCTGAGTGAGGATTTAGCTTTGCTATGTCATTCCTAAAGCATTTGACTGCTAACCAGAAGGCTGGTGGTTCAAACCCACCAGTCACTCCTCAGAAGGAAGGTTGGGCAATCTACTTCCATAGTGATACTGTCTCAGAAACCCAAGGAGGGGTCGCTATGAGTTGGATCCCGCTCCATGGCAGTGAGTTTGGTTTTTTCTTTTCTTTCTTTTTCTGTTTTTTTGATCAGAAGGGAAGAAAGAAGAAATATGAGTACAAATATAGGTTAAAAGGTATGGTATAGTGGGAATCTGAGAGATTTCCTGTTTGATGTCCATTTTCCTTATTGAATAGGAAAAAGGCATTTGATGAAAGTGGTAAAGAGGAGAGGGGCAAGGGATTTAAATGTGATAGACTTTTTTTGTTCATTGCCTTTGCAATCACTGTGCTTTCATTGCCTGTAACTATGATAAATGTTTGAAACAGCTTCTATAAGAAATGAGAGACTGTTGAGGTACATACGTAAAGCTTGCCAAGGGGTGCCAAGAGTCAGCTGAGGATGGGTCCACAAGGCCAGTGTCCTCAGTTATGTGATGGTCTCCATCACCTCTCAGTCCTCCAAAGGGAAGAGTGGAAATGCTAAGATTGAAGTTTGTTGGGCAAGAGCTGGAGAATGAGTAAAGAGCAAAGGAGAGTTTGAGTGGTGGCTGTGGTTTCCCATCTGGGTAGGGAGAATCTAAGGAAAATGTCTGATGCAAATTTGGTAGATTAGGAATATTGAACAAGGTCAGGGATCAGAAGTCTTGTTAGATACAGTGGGAGAAAAGTAATACAAGTGTATAGATATGTATAGATATGACATTGTGGTCACCGTTAGAAAATAGTATTCTCGAATAGTTAAGTTCTCAGAGTGTATTGAGAACTAACACTGTTGTTGTGTGCTGTCGAATTGTTTCTGACTCATGGTGACCCATGTAAAGAGCAGAAGTGCCCCATGGAGTTTCTTTCCTAGGCTGTAATCTTTATGGGACCACATCACCAGATATTTTCTCCCACAGAATGGCTGGTGGGTTCAAATCACCAACATTTTGGTTAGCAACTAAACACTTAACCATTGCATTACCAATGATTCCTGGGATTAAGTGTTGTTGTTGTTATGTGCCATCAGGTTGATTCCAACTCATAGTATCCCTGTGCACAACAGAACAGAAAACTGCCTGGTCCTGTGCCATCCTCACAATTGTTGCTATGCTTGAGCCCATTGTTGCAGTCACTGTGTCAATCCACCTTATTGAGGGTCTTCCTCTTTTTCACTAATCCTCTACTTTACCAAGCATAATGTCCCCCTACAGGAACTGGTCCTTCCTGTTAACATGACCAAAGTACATGAGATGAAGTCTTGTCATCCTTGTTTTTAAGGAGCATTCTGGCTGTGCTTCTTCCAAGACATATTTGTTCTTCTGGTAGTCCATGGTATGTTTAATATTCTTCACCAACACCAAAATTCAAAGGTATCAATTCTTCTTTTTATTTTTATTGTGATTTGGGTGAAAGTTTACAGAGAAAATTCACTTTCTATACAGCAGTTCACATACACTTTGTCTCATGACATTGACCACAATTTACCACAATGCAACAGCTCCCCTCCTACTTCCTCCCAATAGTTACCTCTTCCCTGTGTCCATCCCTCCATGCACTCCTGCCCCCTGAGCTGTCTCCCTGTGCATAAGCAGCCCTTCTTTCTCCCATGATTGTTCTCTCCAAGGAGTGTATCTACCTCAGGTAAATGTTCAACTCATATGCCTATCTATTCTTTGGCTGAAAGCCACAGGTGTGGGTTCAGTTCCAGACCTGAAGGG